GCACAAACTAGCTGCTACAAGCTAAATGTAGCTTGCACAAACTAGCTTCTACAAGCTAAAGGTGTCTTACACAAACTAGCTGCTATAAGCTAAAGGTGTCTTGCACAAACTAGCTGCTACAAGCCAAAGGTATCTTACACAAACTAGCTGCTGGAAAACTACTGATAAAGACGGAGCTGCATTAATGTAAACCTGTCTAACTTACTTTGGAAATTGCTACTCGGTCCAGCCATTCAAATGTAGGGCAATGACATGGGAGTTTTTTTGTATTTTTTTAGTGATCTTTTTTTCCCTTGTGCCAGGCTGTAGACAGATAATTATTGTGACTTATATTATGTAGTTTAAATACTGGTGTTAGAACGAATGTTGCTTTAATACCAGTCATTGCCCTCAAAGTGAAACTTCCTTTAGCATGTAATTACATTTTTGGTTAAAAATATTTACTTCACTTTCTTTTTCGTTCAGATTAAAAAGAAACAAATATCTTTGCAACACAAATGTAAAACTACTGAAGGAATGAGAGCTTTTGTCTGTTATGACTGCCGCACTGTTTAATTTGTCAGCATTGTTGTCACTTGACTGTTTAACCTTAACACATTTCTCACTGTACTGTTTACTGTAATACTGTCTGTCTTGTGTGTTACGTATGCTTTTTGTATAAACTGTGATTTATTCATGAAGAAGAGGAGTACAACTAATATTGTACACTTTAAAACTATTGTTCAAGTTAACCGTTGTTTTATACTTGTCCAAGGAAGAATCATACTGTTAATTATTACAGAAATTTGCTGCTTACTTAGCTAAAACAGGCCAGAGATTAGGTATACACATTCTTTATGCGCTATTTTCTGGTCTGAATAATTTTAGAAAATGTTAAAATGCTAATTACTCTGCTGGCACGGCCTTAGGAAACAAATTTTCACTTTTTCACTGAAACGTAGGATGTGATTGCTTAAAAAAAAATCAGTTTACACTGAACTGAAAGAAATGGGTATAGGTTTTTTAAAAATATTTAAATATCTTATCTGAACAAAACAAAATGTTGCCAAATGACCTTGGATTTGGTGTAACTGTGAGGATGGAGAAAAGAGGATGCTTGTGCTTTTGTTCTTCATATTTAGATACTTTTTTGGCCACTAGAGGGCGACCTGACTCAGTTTTAGTGAGAGAAAACTGCTGCAGAGACCCACAGTACCAACTGCATTTAACTCCACTGTTGAATTACTGTAATTACAAACCAAAACACTTTATTTACTAAGTTAGTTTGTATCTCCCTGTAAAAGATCAATTTAGGCATTTCCACATTATATTTTTATTTTTCCTTTGGTGATGAAAAGGGTCAAGTTATTTGTACAATGCAAAGAAGCAAGATGCCTGTTGATGAAAGATGGATTTAATTTGATTACTATGAAATACTGAAACAAATATATGCATAGCCATGATACACGTATAGCATGCGAGCTATATTATGACTGTCTGATGTTCCTGTTTGTGATGATTCATCGTCCCTTGCATGCTGTGCCGGCGATGTACGCCTGTATCTCATGGTCTATGTGTTTGCACTTTTTTGTTTCCATTACTGTCACAAACATGTCCCTCCTCCCTGCCATCAACTTGTAGGAGGAGTATACTAACCCACTGGAGCAGCACCTCACTGTGAGTATGCATCTCTCAGCAGCTCATGCCGCCCCACAGCTCTTCTTCTTTTTCACTCTGTAGCTCTTTTTGTGTCACGGCCAACCGTTGCATAATCCATTCAAATTAAGACAGAATCACAGCTTGCTGCAGCAGCAGGCAGACTCTGCTGACAGAATCAAGTTAAATGTAATGTTTGAAGAGGGTTTGTGGACCAAATGGTTTAAATCAGTGATGGAAATTTAGCTTCAGGGTATAAAAATTTCCATTTTATCTCTGTGGACTTCAGTGAAGTTACTGTGGTGCTGCTTTGGTGTGTCATAAATCATCTTATTTGATTTGCTTTTTTGACCCGTTTGCATCTGCAGGAAATGGCAAGCACTTTGGCTCAGAAACACCTTCGATCCATCATCTTGAACGTAAGTATCAGTGCAAGTATTATTGCAGCTGCGCATCAAAATAAATGCTCTGCGGCTGATAAACTTTCAGACGAGCTTTGATGAACACAGCGTGCTCTTAGAATATTTTGTTTGGGACTAGTTACACCAAAACATACTTGTGAAATTATATGACTGTGAGACTTCAGTTTTATCCCTGGAACTAAAAGTTTGTGAGCATTCGGGAAATGGAAAGCTTCCCTCCCTTGGAAAGCTGTGACTTGAAACCGGTAAATGTGAAATGGCACCAAGTCCAAAATCTGCTCTGAAAGTGATTCCTTCTGGCATTTGTCAAGAAACGCCTGCTTGAATTGGCTGCGAAATGCAAATGTTAGTGAGGAAATGGCAGCGCTCCAGTATCCGGCAGCACCTTTAGCTTTTTCTGAACAAAACTTGCCGTTCTGTGCACGTTTGATGAGGTGTCTCGCTTTTCACCAGTTTGCAATTCCACTTTGCTTTAGTTAATTCTCTTTGAGTTGCAGCTGATTGTTATTGTGGCGTGTACAGATCGTTGCAGTTGGTTAAGCCTTTTTTTTTTTTTACTGGAAAGTGCTGTTTTGCATCCCATAATATGACATGTCATTTATGCATACATTGCATCAATGCCAACACTTTGCTGTAAACACTGGCTTGTTTTGTTCCAGCATGTCATCAGAGGAAATCGACCAATCAAAGCAGAAATGGCACATCAGCTGTATGTGCTGCAGGTATTGACCTTCAACCTATTGGAGGAAAGAATGATGACCAAAATGGACCCCAATGACCAGGTAAACATTTAAGTTGACTCTTTATATACCCAAAATGCCATATAATCCTTGTATAATGCGTTTCAGTGCTATCAAATGCAGTTTAGAAAATAAAGTGAAAATAAAACATGTAAGCAGTCCTCTGTGGTATGTTTAAATGAACAACACGGTTAATTGAATGGTAATAGTCTGCACGCTGTGAGCGTTTAATAGAGATAACCCCCTACCAGGGGAGATGACTTTCTGATGGATCTGCTTCAAGCGTAACAAGCAGACCAGAAAATTAAGATCTTGTTTTTTGGGTTTTGCCAGTGAAGGCCATCTGCTCATCTCTGATTGGTCTATCTGTTTTATTGTGTCCATTATTATTATTTTGGTGCTTTGGTGTTAAATGTTTCCCTCTTTATGCAGCTAAGCTCTTTAAAATTTTTTTTTTTTTTTTTTCATTTACAGGCTCAGAGAGACATTATTTTTGAGCTGCGTCGGATTGCTTTTGATGGTGAAAACGATCCCACTGGTACAGAGAAGAGGAAAGCCATGTACACCAAGGACTACAAGATGTTAGGATTCACTGTGAGCAACCGATTTCTCTTTAACAGCCTAATTAGAGTCGGACAGAAAAAGTTAAGTGTTTCTTTTCTTTTTCTTGGCTTCAAACGCAGAACCATGTGAACCCAGCCGTGGATTTTACCCAGACTCCTCCTGGGATGCTGGCTCTGGATAACATGCTGTATCTGGCCAGAGTTCATCAGGATACGTACATCAGGGTTAGTGTTGGCCACAGACACCACTTTGTTCTCTTGATAGAATTTGTTTAAGGAGTCTGACACATCTAACACGTCTCCTCAATCACGACAGATTGTTCTGGAAAACAGCAGCCGGGAGGATAAACACGAGTGTCCCTTTGGTCGCTGTGCCATCCATCTGACTCGGATGCTCTGTGAGATACTCCAGGTTGGAGAACTGCGTGAGTAGATCCGCATGTAGCTGCCGCGCTACTATTATTTTCTTTAGGCGTTTTTTAAACGGGGCAAAGTTGAAAGTGTCTTCAGTTACTTTATGTTCAAATTACATGACACCCCCCCCCCCCCCCCCCCGTTTGATGTTTTAAAAAAATAAAATGTTGAGTCGGCCTCTGCCATTTGTTTGTTTTACTGTTTAAAGATTTTCAGATGGCAGTCAACAAGTTAAATACAGTAGTTCCTTGTTTATCGTGGGGGATCCGTACCCTGAAGCCCCACGATAAGTGAAAAATCGCAGAGTATGAATAGTAGTACAAATAGTAAGTACATTAGTCCCTCGCTACTTTGCGGTTCATGTATCGTGGACTCGCTCTATCGCGGTTTTTCAAAATAAGATTGGACATGACACACACATGGCTGATTGATGGATGAGCCGCACGATCGGCACGGAGTTTCATTTAAAATAAATAATTTAAAATTATTTAGCACCTCCTGCACATTTGCGCAGCCCACACTGAAGGATAAACTTCCTGCTGCAGCTGATCAGCTGTTCACCGTGCAGAGCGGAGAAGTGGGCGTGGCCAAGAGCGCTTGCAGGTGGCGAAGAGCAGAGGAGGCAGGGAGCTGAAATTATGACATTCTGTGCTCTTTTGGAGCATTTAGAAACATTGTTTAGAATATTGTAAGTGTGGAAAGGGTTTAAAACACCTTTATTTATTCATATAATTATTTATTTAATTTAATTTCCCTCTGGGATTAATAAAGTATTTTTGAACTTGAATATGGACCGAGATGGGGTAGAGGCAGGGCAGCCGACTCTGGACCCGCAAGTCCCAGGCTCGACCCCCAGTCATTGCACATCTCATGGTGTCTCTGAGCAGCACACCCTATCCCCAAATGCTCCCTTGGTGCCTTCAATAGCCGCCCACTGCACCACCTGGTGGTGATGGGTTAAATGCAGAGAGTCAATTTTGTTGTATGGGAACATACCGTACAATGATCACAACACATTATATATAGAGGTGTTTTAAACCCTTCCTACACTCTTGCAATATTCTAAACAATGTCTCTAAACTCTAAACGCTCTAAGAGCACAGAATGTCATGATTTCTGCTCTCTGACGCTCTTGGCCACGCCCACCTCTCTGCTGTAGAGTAGAGATCGGCTGATCACCTGCAGGAGGAAGCTTTGTCTGCAATTGTGGGCTGCACACAGGTGCTAAATAATTTAAAATAATTTATTTAAAATAAAAATTCCATGCCGATCATGCGGCTCATCCATCAATCATCCAACTGTGTGTCGTGTCCAATCTTACTTTGAAAAACCGCGGTAGAACGAGTCTGCGAAAACGAACCGCGAAGTAGCGAGGGACTACTGTACTGACATTTCACCAAGGGCGTCAGACGCATCCGTAATGTGTGTGTGTGTGGGGGGGGGGGGGGGGACACAATTATGTATGTAGGTGTGTGTGCGCGCGTGCACATGTGTGCGCACGTAAAAAAAGGTGTACAAAAAAGCAGCATTTCACCTAGATTTCATTTAATTCCACACATTTAAAGCATGTTTCTCACCAAGTTTGTTTAAATTCATCTGTGGATTTTAAAGACATTTTAACTTTAATACAGAGTGTCAGATCGGCACTATTTGTCTTTATAGAGAAATAAAAAACATCACCACTGGACTTTTTTTTACTTGTGTTCAACACCACTCATCTAAATGATGTTTCTCATGAAGCTTGAGGACAATACGGTGTGGGGGGTTTAAAGACATTTCAACTTTAATGCACCTGAACACACAGCGTCTCACAGCGTCACAGTTACTGCTAAGCTAACATGCTACAGACGTAGCGCTCCTCTCAAGCATCCTCCTAACATGAATATATGTTCATGATCAAGCCCCTGGTCAACAACTGCCCGCACTAAGCTGCTAGATTGGCGAGCGAGTAACACAGGTACCTCCACCTCCTCCACCTGTGCGCGTTTTCTGCCGAGGCAAGAGGCAGGAAGAGACGGAGAGTTGGAGGTAACCTGGAAAACCTGGAGTGGAGTTTTAGTAGCTTGAGTATTCTATTAATCAAGTGGAATGGATTTGTTCACGAAGAAAGAGAAACTGCGCCGCCTGAACTGTTTTATAGTAGAAGTGGGGGGTCCAAATGAACGTTTTTTTAATGTGGGGGGGGGACTTGTCCCCTTCACATATAATGGTTACACTTATGCGTTTCACCAACATACACTTGTGATTTTAGGTTCCACTTCCAGTGTACATCAGCGTTTTACAACAGAAATGTTTTCTTTTCTTTAGCGAACGAAGGCTGCAACGATTATCACCCCATGTTCTTCACCCATGACCGAGCATGGGAGGAGTTCTTCTGCGTCTGCATTCAGCTGCTCAATAAAACCTGGAAGGAGATGAGAGCTACAGCTGAGGACTTCAACAAGGTTCGACATTAAAGCGCTCTCACAGCCGTTCTGTTTATTTGCAGATGCCATAGTTGGCGTTCACTTTGACAAACCTTGGCCGTATAGGTACTAAAGTGTACAGTATTATCTTCATGTAAAACAAAAAACTCCTTCCAAACAGAACGTGTATGGTTTTGGTTTATGCATCATCTACCAGTTTCAGACTGGTGAATTTAGTGCCTTCGACCACCATCTTTTTGTTGTAAGTCTTTTATATTCACCCTCCTCACATTACAGAGCTTGCTTTTTGTATTTGGCTTAAAACCAAAATATGCCCACAGAAATGCTTTGCTGTTTTTCTTTTGAAAATAAATCCATGATGTCAAGGTCAGTAGATAATTAGCTAAATACAGCTATTAAACCTAAGAGCTGGGAAAACAGAAGGTGAAAAAAGAAAATTAAAATAGTAATAAAACACGTTTCTCTTTGTTTTTGCCGTCTGTTTTCATACAGGTAAATAAAAAAATAAAAAAACATCTCCCAAACATTAACTCTAGTATCCCTGGTAATAAAACACAACTTTTAGCAGCTTTTTCGCAGTTTATCAATTCTAATGTGAATTAGAATTAGGCTGACACCACATGCTTCTGGTTCAGTTCTGTTGAATAGATGAGGTTATGCAGAAGGTGATGCCGTTCAACCACCATCTGTCTAGATGACGCTGGTCCAGTATGAGCAGAAGAACCACCAGGTTTCATGCTGACATGTATTAATGCTGTTATGTTCTGCCTATTAAACAGCTCAGTGAAGCAGAAAGTAAAAAAAAAAAAAAAGGTTATGGTTCATTAAATAATGCATGACGGTTTCTACTTAACCAGACATAAAAAAAAGAAAACGTGAACGCTTTTCTTGTCTTTTTATAATTGATGCCTGCAACAAAAGAAGAAGGTGTCAGTCTGCAGATTGACTCTGTCATTATGGAAAACAGGCTTTTGTGAATTTAACGCCGACAATTTTGCTTCATTATAAAAGAACTGAGGTAAACTGAAAACAGTACAAATGACAGGAGTAATGAAGCTGTTCATCATTTCTTTCTGTTATGAAAGTCCACATGTCTTTACCCAGCTGCCTTCACTTATTGTGTGTGTTCGTGTGTGTGTGCCTCCCCAGGTGATGCAGGTGGTCCGTGAACAGATCACCAGGGCTCTGGCCATGAAGCCGTCATCTATAGACCAGCTGAAGAATAAACTGCGAGGCCTCAGTTATTCAGAGATTCTGCGTCTGCGACAGTCAGAAAGGATGAGCCAGGACGACTTCCAGTCTCCACCCATCATGTCAGTCAAACTGTTATTTTAGCTCTAATAGTTTTTTTTTTTAGTATATATGTGGTGGACTGTGGAGTAAATTTCACTGAGCACTTTCAGACCTCTGTGCTGCATAACTTAATTTACATCCACCCCCTGCTTTGCTCTCTTATATTTACGTTATGTAATAGTACGCTGTTTGTATGCTTGCTGGCCAGTGCGCTCCCTTCTCATTTTATATGCCGTGTTTGCTGCAGTGAGCTGCGGGAGAGAATTCAGCCTGAAATCTTAGAACTCATAAAGCAACAACGACTCAACCGTCTGTGTGAAGGAAGCTGCTTTCGTAAACTGGGAAACCGTCGGAGGCAAGGTAGTCGTCCCTTTTTTTTTTTTTTTTTAATTCTGCAGGAAAAGAGTCGTTAATGACCATCTAAGACTGTTTTTGTTGTTGCAGAAAAGTTTTGGTTCTGCAGACTGTCTCTTAATCACAAAGTGCTGCACTATGGGGACTTAGACGAGTCACCTCAGGGTGAAGTGCCTTTTGAGTTACTGAGCGATAAGAGTAAGACACAACGTTCCTCATCTCTTAGCTAACATTTTTTACAACATGCACAGTGACCATGTTAGCTGTCAGGAGGTAGACAGCCCACATTTATTTATTTGTTTCCTACTTTCCCTTCAGTTCCTGTCTCGGATATAAAGTCTGTGTTGACGGGGAAGGACTGCCCTCATATGAAAGAGAAAAGCGCTCTCAAACAAAACAAGGTAGTAACATTTTCATCTGGTTTATAGCCACATGCACTCTGTCTTTTTATTCTTTGTTGCCTCCCAGTGTGGCTGCAGTATTGTTTAACTTGTTTGCTTCCCTCAGGAGGTGATGGAGTTGGCCTTCTCTGTCCTCTATGATCCAGACGAAACGCTCAATTTTGTTGCCCCCAACAAGTATGAGGTAAACTGATTTATACTCAGTAAGTGTTCAACCTTGTTATTCCACAGCCAGGGAAAATTCCCAGCTCAGATTAGTGGGGAGAGTTGTTTATTTAGTTTTAATAGGGGACAACAAATACATTTAGCCTCCTCAGCATGGGAGCCTTGAATAGAGGTGTTCATGTTTTTCAGATTGACTGTTTTCATTTTCACATAAACAGAATTCAGCTTTTTGCAGGAATTTCTTATAATGTTTCCACATCCATTTATATTCAGGTTTTATATTATCGTAATCCCAAAATGACGTTTTGTCAAAACAACTTTGTCAAAATTCAATTAATTTAAAAAAAAAAACACAAACATCATAACAATTTGGTGTGTAACAGTGCATGTATTTGCACTGTGATGGGTTGGTGCAGAGGTTTTGGGTGAACTGAAGACAAATGTGTCACTCGCAGGTGATCACTTCTCCCAGAGCGGGCGCACTTTTTTATTTAACTGCGTTTTGCCAACGCCCCCAACAGAAAATATTCAGACAAAGAAACTAAATCTAAACACACTACGCCAAACAAAGTATGACTGGTTCTGAATAACATGTAAAAGGAAACGTCTCCATCTTTAATATGAATCAGATGTGTGAAAAAGAACTGGTGCTGATGATCAGGAAGGGTTGTGTATGGCAGGCAGTTGTATCATGTAAGCAACAGCTTGAAAGTACTCTGGCAAGTCATTTGTATATTGACTCGGTATCTCTGGTATCAAGACTTGTTTTACTAACTTTAGTACTCAGCCTGCTAAGAGTGTTCCACATAGGCCTGTCGCGATAAACAATAAATCAATTAATCGCATAATAAATTAAAAATTTCAATCTCATTTTCATTTATTGGCTTTATCGTTTCTTCGTGTCTCTCTCGTTCTACTGAAGACACTGGATGACAAAAAGCTCAACTCCGGTGCTCTTCACTGACCCCCTCCCTTTCTCTTTTCTCTTTAAAATCAATTTTAACGATCCAAAACTGCGTTTTTGGATCGTTAAAAGCAGCTAAACTGAGAAGCTAAGCTACGAGCTAAGCTAACAGGCTGACTTCGGGGGGGACAAAAAACCTCCATCTTGTCGAAGCTCCAAAATTCACAGTTGAAACGTGCCTTCGTGTATAACGTTTTTCTCTGCAAAAAGAAGCCGATAACTTGTTTACTGATTTTTATTTATTTATTAAAAGCTTTGTGTGAAAAATGTTATGCTAAAGAGCTCAAACTACACCGAGCGTCCGCCATTTTGAGAACCCAAGAGAGACAGCTCATGTCACGTCAAGAGGCCTCCCTCCCATTTTTCTTAGAGACACACTGCTCTCTCCCTCACTAGCCATCCTTCATTTCAAACAGTCTTATACTGCCATCCGGTGGTTGAAAACGGGTACTACATGCAAAACAAATTTGACAATAATTACTAATTATTGTCAAACTTCAAATAATATTATTGTTTATCGCAATCATTTCTGAGACAATTAATCACCCTGCAAAATTTATTGTGACAGGCCTAGTTTCACATTTTATGAATTATTAGAATTTTTTTTTTTTGTTTATTTGTTTCATTATTTTCATATTGGGAGATGATATTCAGTGTTGTGTTTTTATTTTGTATGAAGTTTTGGTTAAATTATTGAAAAATAACCTTCGTTTTTATTTATTTATTGTTTTATCTTATTTTAAGTAATATTTTTCAAGTTAGATTCTGGATGCCTTTCATATCCTGTGGGTTACTATTAATACTGTAGTTCAGATGCTTTTAAAAAACATTAAAGTATGACCTTTTTGAACCCCTGTTGACAGATTTTCTTTTGTCCCACCCATAACTTCTGATCTGCTCAAGATAATTTAATGAAACTTCATACACATGCATCACTACTAGAGTGTCATGTACATTTTTAAACCCCCCAGCTCCATACTGCAGGTCAAGGTCACAAATCAAGGTCAAGTTTATACAAGTCTTTACTTGTCCAAGCCATTGCTATAGATTGCTGTATTGCTGTGTAATAGTTTTTCGACAGATTTATAATGTGCCGCATGCATTACTCTTTATTTTATAGAGAGCTTACCATTTGTCAAATCCTACATTAGTGCACTTTAAACCCTCCCCACTAATGAGGCTTGTTTGATTTATTTGTCTCGGTTTCTGGGAGCGTTATAGTGTTTAAAAAATTTGGCATTAGTTTCATTTTTTGTTGTACTTAACCATGACTCTCATACCCAGGTACCAACTCACTATCAATGCACTATCAAACACCTATTTTTAAAGAGAATTAAGTGGTGAGGTTACCACATGCTGAAAAATAAATTTTATTGTAACATGGTGAATTTCTGCAAAAACACTTTTTTTTTTTTTTAACACCACACCACTTGATCAAAAAGGAGAAAATGTGACCATCTTTCACAGTCAGAGGCTGAATTGCTGAAACTAATTTCACACATGAGCACCAAAAAAAAAAAACGTTCTCCAGAAAGTGCGGAGAATCTGGTCCAGATTTTCTCAGCAGTTGTTATTCACACATGCACCTAACAGCAGGAGGTTTTTCTAGTGCAGAGGCGGCGAATATGAGGGAGGGCATTCTGTGTGAAGAAGACGGGAAGCACAACGTGATGTACGCTGTGGAAATTGCTGCGATAAGTTCACATCACTTGAAAATATTAATTGCTGCCCTCTGCCAAAGGCGAAAGGTGAAAATGTTTTTGCCTGTCTGTGTGTGTGTGGGTTGGTTTGCTGGTGAAGATTTGTAGTCATCAAGGTCAGTCCCTGAAATAAATGGTTAAAAAGCAAACAACTGGACTTCTATTCTGAAGCTGAAGATGTTTCGCTTCCCATCCTGGAGGCTTTATCAAATCACCAATGTCTGGACTGCGTGGCGTTCCAAACTTTATAAAACTGCTTGAGAGGCCTGGTTGTGTATTTAGATTCACACTGGAACTACTCGCCCTGCTCAGTGGAGGCTTGTTAGGCTCTTTGTCTGCCTGGCTCACGGAGAGATGTGTTGGTCGCCTGCATGACGGTGTGAATTGAAGTGGAACTGGCTGAGAATCAGATCTAAAGCTGCACTGTTAAGTTTTGGAAAGTTGAAAGTTAGTTCAATTAGCGAAACGTCTTCAGCGTCAGAATAGAAGTACAGTCGATTGATTTTTAACTTTTCTTTTTTAAATTTTGTTTGGACACCTCCCCGATGAGGTGTTCCGGACACGTCCCACTGGGAGGAGACCCAGAGGAAGACCCAGGACACTCTGGAGGGACTATATGTTTCTCGGCTGGCCTGGGAATGCCCCCGAGGAGCTGGCCCAAGTGGCTGGGGAGAGGGAAGTCTGGGCCTCCCTACTTAAGCTGCTACCCCCCACGACCCGACCCTGGATAAGAGGAAGAAAATGGATGGATGGGTTTGTTTGTTTGTTTGTGTTAGCAAAAAATCTCATGAACTTCTGGACAGATTAGAATGAAACTCTTGTACTCCTACAACTGATTAACTTTTAAAAACAAATTTCAAGATGGCTGCCACAGCTAAGTAACCTTAGAACCTTGTAGGACGCCTGTGGCTGAGTGGTTAGAGCAGTCGTCCTCCAATGCAAGAGTTGTGGGTTCGAGTCCACCAGCAGTCACATGCTGAAGTGTCCCTGGGCAAGACACTGAACCCCTCATTGCCTCTGATGTGTGTCCCATCAGTGTATGAATGTGATAAAGCACTGATTAGTCTCTTTAGAATGATTTGTTCAATTAGCTTTGTAGATCTCTAGTAGAGTTCTGTATGAATGGGTAAATTGTAGTGTAAAGCACTTTGAGTGTCTTGATAAGATAAAAAGGAGCTATATAAGTACAGTCCATTTAGAAAATACCCACAATGGCAATATATCTGTTTATTTTAGAAATACTGAGCTAAAATTTAGTGTGGTAGTAGCAGAGCATAATCCCCAACACATACTCTGAACTCTACTTATTGTCCAAGAGTTTTGCTTACATCTTTGGCATTCTTACCATTTACTCTGTTAGCCTTTTAGCAAAATATGTCATTAACTACTGCACGCATTTTATTCAAACTTTAAAAATGTAATCATAAGTTGGGTTTTAATTACCCTAATTAAAGCTATCCGTCACAGCTAATTGACTTAGCCAAGACAAAAATGGCTATAACTGAGGCAAATTTCATCCTCAACACATACTTCAAGCACTAACACATTTCACAATATTTCATAAAATTTACAAACTTTGACTAAACTGCTGTCTTTTCTCATCATAAGATGATTTTAATTCCAAACTCTGGCTTTAAAGGCAGCAGGCATTCTTTCAATGAACCCTAGGCTGTTAATATTTATAACAGATTTGAACAGTGGCTGTTTTTCAGATCACTCAAGGACACCTTACACTTTAGAGACACTTACTTCAGGCAAAACATATTTTAAAATAAGTTAAATTAAATCTGCAAGTTCATACTGTATCCAGTATTTATGAATTTTATGTAGTGGAATTTTATGAGTTGACCCCTTTTAGAAAAGAAAGAGTTTTGAGAAAGGATTTGAATTAAAATAAAACCTGGTTCAATGAAAAGTGGCAGCACAGGGCTGAAGACTCAAGTCCATTGTAGATGGGATGGCAGACTGAATAAAGCGCTTGGAAGAAGAAGACCTGAGACTTCAGGGTGGAGTGTAAGAATGGAGCATCACAAAGAGGTATGGAGGAGTGAGGTTAAGGAGAGGTTTGAAGAGGAGGAGGAGAAGCTTAAATTCAGTGCAGCAGCTAGTGGAGCTGTTTCAGAATGGAAGCGATGTGTTCAGGTACAACAGGCAGCAGAGCTTTGGATCAATTCAAGCTTTTTAAAATTGATTTGTATGATTGAACAGAGAAGAGAATGAAAGTAATCAATAAAACAAAAGAAAAGAGTATGAATGAAAGTAGCATGTTGGTTGAGCGTGACTGTCAAAGACGAGTTATGAAAGTCAGCAGAAAGGATGAGACTATTAAGGTTTTTCAAATACAGTAGTCCCTCGTTTATCGTGGAGGATCCGTACCCTGAAGACCCGCGATAAGTGAAAAGCTGCAAAGTAGGGATAGTAGTACAAGTAGTAAGTAGTAGTCTATTTTGGTATATATATATATATATAAAGGCATTTTAAACATTCCCACACTCTTACAATATTCTAAACAATGTTTCTAAACTCTAAATGCTCTAAAAGAACACAGAACAACATGATTTCAGCTCCCTGCCTTCTTTCAGTTACGACTGCACTCAGCCACCTGCAAGCGGTCTTGGCCACGCCCACTTCTCGTTCTGCACGGAGAACAGCTGATCAGTTGATTAGCTGCAGGAAGAAGCTTATCCTGTAGTATGGGCTTCACAAAGGTGCAGCAGGCAGGTGCTAAATAATTTAAAATAATTTATTTTAAATAAAAATTCTATCCCGATCGTGCGGCTCATCCATCAGTCGGCCAATTGTGTGTCATGTCCATTCGTATTTTGAAAAACCGCAATAGAGCGAGTCCGCGATAAACGAACCGTGAAGTAGCGAGGGACTACTGTACAGGTATTCTATGTCAATGACATCTAAACTCATCAACAAGGACATTTCGAGAGGATGGACTGAGGACTGTCCATCCATCTATTTTCTTTACCCGCTTCTTCCTTTTCGGGTCACGGGGGTCACTGGTACCCATGTCCAGCAGTCACTGTGCAAGAGGCGGGGGACACCCTGGACAGGTCTCAAGTCCATCACAGGGACACATAGTAAATGAGATAAACGACCGTTCACTCTCTCTCTCACTAGGGAAAATTTAGAGTTACCAATCAGCCTAACATGCATGTTTTTGGTCTTTGGGAGAAAACCAGAGTACCTGGAAAATCCCACACATACACGGAGTGAACATTCAAACTCCACCCAGAAAGGTCCTGGGCTGGGATTTGAACCAGCAACCTTCTCGCTGAGAGGCAACAGCTCTACCAACTGAGCCATCACGCCGCCCAGACTGAGGACTAACAAAAATACATTTGTTTTCATCCTTAGGTTTGAGGACATTCTTGGAAAACCAGTTCTTTGTTTCTCCCAAACAGAAAGACAAGAAAGAGGGTGGACATTTAGAAGTAGGGTTAACAGACAGATACATCTGGGCACCGTCTTAGTTACAGTGAAGCTGAATATTGTTTCCTAGGAAAAAAACAAGGCACTATGACTAAGCCCTGAGGAACCCCACTGATAATTGTGGAGGGTTGTGATTGGAAATTACATTTCTTGACCCGAGTGTATCCAGAGGGGTATGACAAACCAAAGGAATGATTAGTTGGTGATACCAGAAGAAGTAAATCAGCAGGAGAGATGATTTAAGATGAGGCGTTAAATGATTAATGCACAAATGGGTTTTATGCCTGTGTTTGTAATTAAATCAATGCCACACAAATTTAAACTTGTCCAAAATCACTGAAGAATGCTGATAAAGACATACTGTGCAGCAGCAACAAAAACAAAGTAACTCTTCAGTGTGCACACAATAAATCTTCTGAAACAATTAATTGCTTCATAAAAAAATTATTACAGTTTTAACGTTGGACCTTTGTCCTGTATTTTATTAGTCGATAATAGAATGAACATTTGCTTGTTCCTTTATTGGAAACAAGCGTTCTACAAAGCCTCTGGGGCTGATGATGTTGACGTGGCACAGCCCTCACCTTTGAATGCTCCTCTGTATGTGTGCAGTATTGCATCTGGACTGACGGGCTGTGTGCGCTGCTGGGCAGGGAGATGGGCAGTGACCTGACACGCAGCGACCTAGATACTCTTATAAGCATGGAGATGAAGCTCCGCCTCCTTGACCTGGAGAACATCACAATCCCAGAAGCTCCTCCTCCCGTGCCAAAGGAGCCTAGCTCTTACAACTTCACCTACAACTACAGCTGAGATGTGTGTTTCTGTGTGCGCCTGATGCATGCATGTGTAGATTAAGGATTGTTTTATTCATCTTTTTGAGAAGAAAAGGCCAGTTTGATCTGTGTTTGTCATACAGTGCAATTGCCCGACATCCAAATAGCTTCAAAGAAAAACCAGAGGTCAAAGTTCACCACCGTGCTAAATTTAGTTTAGCCTCCAATTTTAATGTTTTCTAATTCAAAAGCAGAAATAAAATATGAAGTCAAAAAATCAAAACCTTCTTTTACCGTAGAGGAAGGAAAATTGGATCAGCCAAGCAATGTGTGGTTTCCATGGCAACAGAGGAAGTAGCCATCATTGCATTTTAAGTCCTGTATTTGCTCAAAAACTGCTTACCGCTCTAAATGTGCAGCATTACAGAACAACGTAGTCAGTTTAACTTATTTTATACATTATTGTTACCATTTAATTGAGAATTTAACCACTAATGATCTTTGTACAGTAAACAAGCTCCAAAAAATGTCACTAAATGGGACTAAAATTAACCCAAGTCCAGATGCTGAATCTTTAAATTCAGATCATCACGCATGGTCTGTTGTTGTTTTAAACTTCCCTGTTCTCAGCCCAAATTCGGCTCAGGTCCCGGCCACATTTGGTGAGCGGCACCGGATGGGTACGAGCAGATGGCAAAGCACAACCAAGTTTGCAGACTGAGCTTTAACTGGCCCGGTTCGTTTTGTTTTACTGCCAACTACTGTGTCGCTCACACGCTTCACCAGATGAGCACGCCTTTTCTTCAGCTGTTCTACAATGTGAACTTGTCATATAAAAAAAAATACTATTAGAAAAAAAACAAACAAGAAATGACATGTGATAATTGTTGCCTACATTAGGTGTCGTTTTTTTTTTTTTTTGTGCGGAAGTCTGAATGTGAGATTCCTGTTTATGTTGAATAATCTCAATGTGTTATGAGCTTTTAGCTCATTTGTGCCAGGGTCAATTTTCTAACTCTTTAACATGTTAAACATGAATGATATCATCGTCACTGCCTTATCACTCTGATGCTCATCATGTAAGACTTTTAGCTAGAATGGTTTATTAAACATGTGACATCACTGTATGATGTAGTTGTAGAAGCGAATGTTTCTGTTTATGATACCTGTAGAGATTATTAACCATAAACTGTGGAGGAAACACTTTAACTTTGTTGTTATTAGTTATTAAATCCTCAGTCTTTCAGTAGTGTGTTTATAAATATTAATATTTTGTGCCTATTTATTGTTTATACGTGCGAGAGGAATGAATTGATTTTTCAGTAAACTGTTTCAGATTCTGTGTTGTCTTTTGTTGCTCCACATGCTAAATGTTCATCAGAGATCTAAACTGACGCCCAGTAGTGATTAAATCAGCTACAACTACATTATATTGTGATCTTAAGCATTTGTTAATTTTAAAATCTTTTCGTTAACATTGTCATGTATTGACTTTGTTTCTACTAGCTTACCTGATATATAAAAAGATAAACAATGCTGTTTCTGCTTGGAATTAATTAGCAAATGGTTCATTTAAACGCGTTCTCGTTCTCTTCGCAAGCAAACAGAACTCCAGGGCTGCTCTGACCGAACCTAAACCTGATCCGTAAAATAACAGGCCAAAGACTGTACGGTCTACCCCTGCTCCTGTGTCATGTCTGTGTACACAAAACACACTTTGCTTTGTGTACAGAAACATTAAAGTACCGTTTCTTGTCATCGTTTACTTCGTCTTACGTTCTTCTTGAGACTTGCATTGTTCTCATCAGCTTGTAAATCCCTGCTTCTGTTTGTTAATGCACTATAGATTTATATTTTTGTAAATGATTGCCCGTTTTTCTGCTGTGACAGGAGTCTGTATGAGTCAGCATGCGACTTTTACACTGAAATGATTACCGTACTTGTCGCCGTACACGTCGCACCGCCGTATAAGACGCATCAGTCCAAATATGTCTAATAAAGTGGGAAAAAACATAAATAAGTCACTTTGCCGTTTAAGTCGCATCTATTATGCGTCACCGCTGACCACCAGGAAATGTGAGCTGATGTGCCAAAAATCAATTGGCTGCCAAATGACGGCTGCAGGAGCGTGCACAAGAGGACTTTAACAAGAATTTAACAAGATTAACACTTAAAAACAATTATTTGTTTGCTGGACATTATAGTAAAGGTGTGTCTCTGTTTAACTTTTCCTTAATAAATGCACTTTAATGGTCAAATCAGCTGCATTTCACCTGGGCGGCGTGGCGAAATGCAGCTGATTTGATGTTTGCTCCAGGAGTTCTGGAGAGAGGCTAAGGTGGCTTTGTATGGCAAGCCAAGTGTCTCATTAATAGCCACTTTTACCTATTAATGAGAAACTTGGCTTGCCATATTAGTCGAGGGCCCTCTAGTGGCTGAAAATGGTAGTGTTAAATATTTTCCATGTCAGAATGAATGCAATAGTCAGACCTCAGCCAAAAATTGGGTTAAAAATATGAAGGAAAAAAACAACAACTTATATTAGTCGCTTCAGTATTTAAGTCGCAGGACTTGCAAATTTATGCAAAAAGGTACGACTTGTACGGCAAAAAATATGGTAGTTTTATTGGTTTGGAAAGAAACCAGCTCCGTCGCCTAACTATGATGTCAGCTTGTAACGCAATCTGAAAATTGCCAATAATTTTATGTTTGTTTGTGGGAAGAAATATGTGCGAGATATTTTTTTTTTGTGCGTGTGTGTTTTAAATATATTTTTTAAACGGATGTTTAAAATGTTTAAACATTTTAACTGGTTGAAATGTGCAAAACGCTGCAAGCTTATGTAAAATATTAGTCATTTTATATTTTCATTTTATCTGCATGATGCCCTGAGCTCTCGGGGTCACCAGATTTATTCCAGTAAATGACTGAACCACTTAGCTATGTTCAGACATTACGTTCGGCTCCAACAACCACAGTATGATCCAGTTCGTGAGGTTTGTTGCTTTGGATGACTAACGGTGTGATTTGCTGTTTTCACATCTAGTTTTCTTTGACATTGTAACATTTTATTTACCGGTACACTCTGTAGTGTTACAGAAGAATGACAGAAATTATGTAAATATTTGAATATGATATAAATCTAGTTTATTGTATGTATATACAGTATTGTCTTGCCTTAATGGAGATATGTATTATGTTTAGTGTGAATAAATACAAAGTCCTAACAAATCCTGTTGCCTGTTGCTTTTTTACTTTAGCCTTTTCTTTTGGATGTCATATGTTAACGATAGTTTAACTACCGTAGTATTTTATAGACAATGAAAATGTGGCCCTCTCAAACATCTAATTTCAAATGTTTTGCCTTTTTAAAACTAAAATTTCTGTGACAGTAGGAAACTACATTAAACTCTGCTTTGTAACAAAATGTATTTGAAGCAATATGTTTTTTTCAAATTCTCACTTCGGCTTCTATAACTTTAATTTATTTTTGCAACATTAACATTTCCACACTCAAAACAACTTGTTGGATAAACATTAAAACCTGGAATAAAATTTCCATTCACTTTTTGGTCTTTCTTTACCGATTAAGCAAATATGGTGTTATAATTTAAAACGTCTATCCTGTGTTTGCACATTTTCAAGGTCTGAATAAATATTTTATTTATGTCGAGTCTGTCTCATCTTAATTGGATGAGTCAAACCGATTTTATTTAATAAAAAAAATAAATCGGTATTTAATTTTTCTTTCTTTTTACACATGATTTAGTTGCTTTTTTGTAGTATCAGTCTTATTAAGCAAATAAAACTAAATATATTTCAGGCAACTGATAAAACCTGTAAATAGATACACTGGTTCATTTAACAAGAACTTTTAAATTCATTCAACCAATTAGTTAACTTGAGAACTAACAGTAGCAAAAATGTTGAATCAGTCCTAAAAAATTTAAACTAAATATATTACTTTGAGAATATAAATACTTAAATAGGAAAAAAAGTGTAATTGTGAATAACAAATTACACATATTTGGTATTTTCATTCATCACATTACTTTGTAGGTGTTAAATTCATGTACAATGATCATAAATAATTTTACAAACCTAAACTGTTATTGGAAACGTACTTGGTTTTAGTTGGTAAAACATGCTTTGGGTGTTTTTAATTTTAATTTTAATTTTTTTAGTCTACAACAAACAGCTCCTGGGAGTTTTCTACAGCTGCTGCTCAGTTTCATGTCTCTTCCAGCAGGGGACACACTGCGTCTTGTACTTATCTAGTTGGCTTCAGATGACTTGAGCAAACATGCTTATTTTACATTAAAAAAGGGGGAAAAGCCATAAAAAGAGATAAAGACATAGTGGTGACGTTTGATCTCCTGTCAAATAATTTTATATTTTTTTAACGTACATTTCAATGTCACAAGACGATAATGACAACAATGTTTTTTATAAAGCTCAAAATAGGCATGACTTTTAAATGGTTTTTATTTTAAAACAGAACTTGAGATGTTTTATCAGGAATTTATCAGGATCTGAATGAGTATACATACATACAAGTACTGCAACGTGGACAACTTCAGTCCAAGATAGTAAGAGCTAAGCAAAAGCGTTGTTTACATCAATCACCTTGACTTCAACTGTCCAAACAAACAGAAAGGTCATTCAGCTTCAGTCACAATGCAGATTTTTATCAGCTTGGAGAAATTATGTTTCGGTCTGTGGAAACGTGTCGACATTAAACACGGTGGAACCCTGGAGGTCTGAGCGTCTCTTCTCTGTAAATATCTGTTTCTGCATTGCATCAAGCTCTTTTGTTTCAGTCTGGTGGTCAGCTCAGTTGTTCCTGTCGTGCTTAGCAGGAGTACGATTGTCCAGTTTTGACTTCCTGGTTAGTGGATAAACAGTCTTTACGGCACATCTCAACACGGAAACAATATATACTTTATACTGTATATAAAATAAATACAAATCTCTTTCTACACCATCATCTGTGATTTTTCTCTTGTTCCGAGCTTCAAGTGTATACTTGCCGTGTTTCATGTATGGATGTGAGTGCCACTTTAGCTCGCCTGCAATGATCTCAGCAGACCTTAAGTGGCATCTCTCTCTGATCTGGGTCATTGTTTTCTTCTGTCTTTTGAGTGATGATGACAGTCTTGGGAATCTTTATGTCAACACAGAGCGTACTGGGATTCTTTCCTACCTCCTGGCCAGGCTCGGTGTCCCAAACCTGCCCTGCTAGCAGCAGTATGAGAGCAAGAAGCAGTAAAGTGACTGCTGTGGAGGTCATCTGCGGGTTGAGCTGCAGTCTAGGCTGAGCCTGTGAGGCAACCTTCGTCCTGAACGAGACACACTGAGGCTTTTTGCTCTCTCTCGATCTTTGACTCGTGTGCTTGGAGCTCTCACTAATCCCTGAATGGAGACACACTTTGTAAAATGTCTCTGCCTGCAGGTGAGTCAGGTTGAAGCTTTGCACGCCGGCAAGGACACGGGTGGTGTATGTTGGTGCGTTAGCGTTTGAGTATACGGCCTGCCAGGAGAGACGGGTCGAGAGGAGGTTTTGTCTGCTCTGCCAAGACAAGATAGTGTAGTGTTCTCCAACCTCCCTCAGCTCCAACCTGACATCTGCTCTGATTGCTTGAAACTTCTTTAGCTTAATTGCCTTTCCCCTCTTTCGCTTCTTCCCTCTGTTGTGTACTCCTACTGTAACGCTGCGTGTATCGGCTCCGAATGCGTTCTCAGCCACACAGGTGTACAGTCCTGCTTCTCGGGGTGTGATCTTGCTGATCTCCAGAGTTCCTTCAGGCAGTAACTGGTAGTGTTTGAAGAGCTGGCAGGGAGTTTCATCTTGAGCCTGGACACTGGAACCAGATAAACGGTTGAATCCATCAGAAGTTGTGTTTTTGCAGAGGACAGAAGCTGGTAAACCTTTTGTTTCCTGGCTTGGTGCGGGTCCAAGTCTGAGGCCAGAGGGGGTCACCCAGTACAGTTGAGGTTGTGGCTCTGCAAGTGCTCTGCAGTGCAAAACTAGCTTCCCTCCTTCTTGAACCCCTACATAGGAAGGGAGGGAACTGGCAGGAATGGTGGGCAGACAGTAGGCAGACATTTCTCCAGAAGACACTTCTCGCACTCTGCGCCCTCTCAGTTCTGGAGGTTCAGAACACAAGGTTGCTTTGGGTTGGATGAAACGCACCACCCGAACTGTTGGTGTGTTCATTTGCGTGTCCTTCTTAATGTGAAAATGAGAGGTGTCCCTGGCAGCCCAGTGAAACAGGCAGTCGCATTGCAGTGGGTTGGAGTGTAGGCTGACCTCCTGGAGACTCGGCAGGGAGAGGATAATGTGCTGGTGCAGAGCACTCAGAGAATTAGAGCTCAGCATTAGACTCTCCAGCCTGCTCAGCCTGGAAAAAGCCTTAGGGTGAATGTAAGACAAACGCGGGTTGTTGGTAATTTCAAGCTTGGTGAGCTCTGGAAGGTTCTCCAGGGCAGCTTTCTCAATCGACACCAACTCCTCCATGTTGTTGAGACCGAGCTCCTTTAGGTGGAACATATCTTTGAAGTCTTCTGTCTCGACCAGTTTGATGCGGTTCTTATTAAGGTCAAGAAACTTCAGTCCTGGCACTCTCTTCAGGGCTTGTCTTGGGACTTTGGTCAGAAGGTTGTCATAGAAAGACAGGCTTTCAAGGCCATCAAGCCCTTGAAGTGCTTCTTCAGCCAAGCCTTTCAGACCCATACTACCAAGGACAAGGCTCCGAAGGGATTTTAGGGTTGCAAAACCCTTTTCAGGCAGGGCTTCCACAGGGTTCTCTCCTAGCATGAGAACTTCCAAGCAAGGCAAAGCCCTGAACCACACTGGGTCAATAGTAGTGAGTCTGTTGTTGTTGATATGAAGACGGAGAAGAGAGTCAAGACCTGAGAAGGCTCCAGGTGCTATCGAATGTAAGTTATTATGGCTGAGGAAGAGCTCTTGCAAAGCTGGCAGCGAAGAGAATGACTCCTCTGGAAGGTGACTGAGATGGTTTTCTTCCAGGTGTAAGGACAGCAGAGCAGGCAGGGACATGCTCTGAGTTATCATCCTGACACGACTGAAGCGGTTCTGGGAGAGGTCCAGGTCGGTGAGGTTGGGAAGTTCGTGCAACACTGCAGTGTCCAGCACTGACAGCAGGTTACTCTGCAGGCGCAGGGTGTGTGTGTTCAGCGGTATGGGCAAGGGGAGCTTGGTCAACAGCAAGTTGTTGCAGTCCACAGTGGGAGCCTCATGGTAGACTGAATCAGGGGAGAACCACGGCTTGATCTGACACACACACCTCGTTGGGCAGGTAACGTGCCATGGCAGGGCAGGAGGCAGTGAGCCCACAGCAATGGGCACACACACGCCAGTGAACACACACAATAGACAATGTGACTGTAGAAGCACTAAAGCCGGCCTCATAATCCTCGCAGATTTCAGGAACTGATTCAGACAAGGTTAGGAAGTCTTTGTTACGGAGAGGAAAGATGAATCATTTGGCCGAGAGATGTGTGAGCTAATTGTAACTGTGGAGCAGATGGTTTACTGTTAAGGCTCTCAACATTGTGGCTTCGGAGAAATATAAAAAAAAAAGCCCTGAAATGTTTTTGAAACCTTTCCTACACAACGTCTTGTTTTGTGAGTGGCTCTGGGCGCAGTGGCAGGACAGGAATCGCTTGGTGATGGTCTTTGTTGTCACAGCATTGGGCTCATGTGCTGACCGAAGGTGGGCGACTCATTTCTGGATCACTGTTGTCAGAAACACAAGTAAAGACAAATAAGTATTTAAACACAAACAAACAAAAAAAAAAAAAAAGAGGAAAAACTTTAGCTAATCACACATTAAATAAAGTCTCAATGCTCCACTTACACAAAGACTCGTTACTTTTAACATCTCATCAGTTCTCCAACAATTTATACTCAATTTGGATGTTATATTTTTTTGAATAACAAGTTATTTTCAATGACTCATAAAAGCAGAAATAGTCTGCCGCTTAGAACAATAATGGAGCGATGAAAAAGAGAAAATGGACAGAAAAGACTGAAATAACCCGGCGAGGAGCGTTTGTCCTCTGAAAAGAAGCTAAAGTCCGTTTTGGCAGAGGCACATAAATGACGACAATCATGGTAAAACCCGTGAGAAGATGGTTTCACACATTACTGGTGGAAGAAAGACAGAGAAAAATTGTGTTCTGTTCCAACTTTTAGTGTAGGTTTCAGCCAGGAGTGCAGGAGTGATGAAATCATGTAGCAAGCATGTAAATATTTCATATAAGTACTTCACAATCTGTGTTAGTCATTGCATGGCCTCCCACTAACCATATTTATTATGTAACGTTTTTAAAAAGACCCCAAGGACCTTTTGTGATATCAGTCGTCCGCATATTAGACAATCTGCTGGATCACATATCGCTACATGAATCAGTGACTGGTAGACTTTTAAATTCACAGCGTTAACAATCATGGTACAAAACGCTCACAGTACTGCGTCATGATGCATCCCAATAACTGACTGACTGATGCTCTCTGCGTCCTCCATCATTTTTTAGTATCTTATTTTAATCTCATTATCAAGGCTGCGTAACAGAGAATGCTGAAAACGCTGCTTGTTAGCGTTTAACTGCGCTTATAGTTTAAATAAAACAAAAGGAAAATTGTGATTCTTTGGATGAAATAATTTCTCACTCGGTTCACATGTGACAAAAACATGAACTGTTTATAAAATAAAATAAGAATTGTCAGGAGAGCTTTTTATTGCCTGCTGCCAAAAGGCGGAAGAAGATGATCATATTAGCTGCATACGTGTCTGTCACCAAAATACCTCATGAACCAGCGGAGAAATGTTAATGAAACTTTCCATAAATAATTATTTGAACAGCCACAACTGGTTCACTTGTGGAATCAACCTGATTCGTAATGGCTGCCACAGCTAACTGACCTATAAAAACACATAAAAGGTTACAACTCCATCATTTTTACAGATACTGAGTCGAAATTTAATGTGGTAGAAACTGAGAGTTATCTCCAACATATACTTTAATTTTGCTACGTTGCATGAGATTGTGCGTGACATTATTTTCAAGGTTTAGGTAAAACGTTGCCAACGCCATAATTTCTTGACACCAAAGGATTTTGATGTAAAACTGTCTTTAAAGGCAGCAGATGATCCAGAATCCTCCCCCCCCCATCTCTATGATTTGCCACAGCCGTATGTCCCACCATGTTCCCTGAGGTCAGCGGACCAGTTGCTCCTCACAGTTCCAGGAACTCGTCTTAAGCGCAGAGGTAACAGGGCTTTCTCTGTAGCAGGACCAAGACTTTGGAACGAGTTACCTCTGCTTGTCAGACAGGCCCCCTCCCTCTCGGTTTTCAAATCCCGTTTAAAAATCCACTACTATTCCGTAGCTTTCAACACCAGAGGATCTGTGTTTTGAACCTGTTTGCTTCACACAGGTTAGTTGTCATATTTATTATCTGCAACATTTTTATGTCTATATTCTGATTTAACTTCATTTTGTATGTTGCTTTGTGCGTTTCCAGTTTTTCTGTTTGTACAGCACTTTGGTTGGCCTTGTCGCTGTTTTAATTGCTCTATAAATAAAATGGTATGGTATGATACAGATTATTTAACGAATGCCAGACTTTCATTTTAATTAAATGTTTCTGGACTTCTATTTTGGTGCACTGTGTAAAAAAAATAAAAAAATAAATAAAAGTGATTTTATGTCAATTTTCTGGGGAGATCTTTTAGATATTTATTAACAATAATAATAATAATTTTAAGACCACTAGTGAGTGTGAACAGTCACTGATTGACAAACAAGTGTGAAATCAGAGGGAGTGTAAACAGATGGGTAGACATTTTGAATAAATTAAATATTTTCTTGTATAAAAACTTTAGTTTTATTGGGAAATAATTTTTGTCCTAAAGATTTAAATGAAAAAATATTCAAAATCTAATTAAATGTACAGTATATTTTTTATTGCCAGTCATTCTAGAGGAAGTAAAAAAAAAAAAAAAAAAAATTAATAATCTGTCTTAAATACATATTCTTGGGCTTAATCAATGGTGCTTGCACATGCTGAGAAGCCATGTGACATTGTTGCTATGGGAACCAATCTACCAGCCTTTATCTGTATTCTTGTTAATGGGCTTTCTATGGTTTGGTCACTTTAAAAGATCTGGGACTGGTCTAACTGGACTGAGGAAACCTGCTGTACCCTCTCAGACTGGATCTATTTTTGTTTCGACTGTTCAGTCTGCAGATCCTTGCTGCAGCCGGCTGCTTCGTGTCTGGACCTTCTGTTTTCTCTCTCTGCCCTGTTCCTGTCTGACTGCTTTCAAGTAAAGGTCACCATCGCCTGAAAAAGTTTAGATTTTTATCCACCATCAAAACAGGAATCCCTCTGACGGGGCTTCTTGATACTAAGAAGCATGCAACCTGCAGTAGAAGAAACAGATGTGGCTGGATTAATTTCCTCCAACACACAGCTACATAACCTCCAACAACTGTGCTATAATTCAGTTCAGTGCAATTTATTTATATAGTGCCAAGTCACAACAGAAGTCATCTCAGGGCACTGAACAGAAACATTCATATATATATATATATATATATA